CCCCCCCCGTCAATTTTCCCCCTAGATCCCAAAGCCCAAACCTTAAACCTTGCAATTTTAGGGGTTAGGGCTCGGGCTTTTGGGTTTAGGGTGTACGTACTACTACTTCTGATGATACAAATCCTGCATTACCTTAAGGACCCTAAACTATGGGAATTATGGTATATTCCTGATTATGGGTAATGCAGGATTTATATCATCAACCGTACTTCCAAGAGTGCCGAGGGGCGGGTTTCCAACCCATCTTCTCGTTGCTTCGCACTGGAAGATTTTGAAGGCTCTCATGGATGCCTGGCAAGACTGAAGCCACATGGGAGTTTCCGAAAATGGTACCTTATTTTGGGTAATAGTAAGGATCCTACTATTTAGGGCACTATATTAGGGCCGCGAAAGCCACATGAGTGGTTGTCAAAATTAGGGTCCGTTCTTGGGTACTCTAAATATTAGGTGCCGTATTATACTGCGGAGCCAAAAGGGACCCTAAGTTTGACAACCACCCACATCTAGACCTAAGAATAACAGAGGAATAAAATGGGTGCCCTTTTTGGTTTACAGGGGGTTAGAAGGGAACCTGAACCTTCAACAAAGGAATAAGGGCTTGCTCTGGGTTCTAGACATCCTTCGGGGTAGGGATTTGCTGGGTTCCATAAAGACTTCCAGGGTGTCGGACGCCTCTTGCACGACCAAGCTGTTGTTAGGAATCAGGGGTTGGGAGCTTGAAAGATTCGGGGTTTCGCTTTTGCCCGAACATCAAAACCCTGAGGGTCTGGAGGTTGAGCAGAGCTTCGTTCGAGTTTGTTCGGTGGAGTCCGTTCTCGAACATTCCCGAACAAACTCCACTCTCCACCCTTAGCCTTAGGCTGCATAGAGCACCTTCCCTTGCGCCCAGCCTAAGTTTGATCCTGATCCTTATTTACACCCAAAACTCTAAATTACCCAGGCCTGATTCCTAAACCCAGTGCTCTAACTCCAAGATCCTAAGACCCCAAGACCCCTGAATCGAAACCCTAAATTCCTAAGTCCTGCATCCTAAGATCCTAAATACAAAGCCGCCCGAAAACTCGAGAAGGCTTTAAACCGTCCTGTGTTTGGGACTTGCTGCAGCTTTGTGATGACCACTTCGCTGCCAGACTCCGCACTCCTCGACAGTTGATCTCAGACGAAACTCGCATGATTGGTTTCTTTCTGAGGTTCAATTAAGGACTTTGGGGATCATACTTGAAGGCTCATGGGACTTAGTAAGTAAGGTTATAAGTATAGGTTATAATTCGGATAACCCCACTTAGGGGACTTATAACCCCAGTTATAACCTACTTACTAAGTCCCCTGATCCTCTAAGTAACCTAAACTACCCCTTATAGAACCCTTATATTATAGATCCCTAAACCCTAAACCCTTTAAGGAGCCCTTTAAGGAACCCTAAGTCCCCTGATCCTCTAAGTAGGGATGTTTGGTAGGCCTAGGTCTGCTTTGGTATGGGGATTCGGGCCACGGTTTAAGGGTTTAGGGTTTAGGATTTAGGGTTTAGGGTTAAGGGTTTAGGGTTTAGGGTGCTACTGGGATGTTTCTGGTCTTCGAGAGCTTTGGGCGCTACAGGCGTTAGGCCTTTCAGTGCCTGAGTCCATCAAGCGGCCGTGGGATCTATTCTTTCGGTTTGTAGAGTTTGTGAAACCTTTCAGGGCATGCAGGAATCATGCCATGCAGCAGTTGCTAAACGCTAGTGGCTTACTTAGAGGATCAGGGGACTTAGTAAGTAGGTTATAACTGGGGTTATAAGTCCCCTAAGTGGGGTTACCCTAATTATAACCTACTTATAACCTTACTTACTAAGTCCCATGAGCCTTCAAGTACCTGGCTGCTAAGTTCAGCTCCTAACTCCGGAAACTTGCTTTCTAGTCTTCAACCGTAGGCCCTTGCTTTGAACTCGGAGTGTCGTCCTCTCGTCTAAACTCTCCCTACATCAAAAACACCCAGGCAACTGTTTAAGGTTTACGGTTCAAGGTTTTGGCGAAATACGAAGACCCTTGGCGGGAGTTTCAACAAAGAAGGAGACCCGGGTAGTAACTAAACTAGTAGGCAGCTAAGTCAACAGAAAACCTCGAAAGGCCCAAGGTAGAGGACCCTGATCGGCTTCATGCTTGCGCAAAATGCGAAGCCTAATTGAGTAGTAATGCTGGCTTAATAATCCTTGTGCTCCCTGCTTTTAAATACATAGACCACAGAGTATACAGAAACCCCGGAGCCCTCTTCGTTTTCTTCGTTTCATCAATTGCGAGGCTTTACCGTTTAGCTCTGGGGTTAAAGGTTGAGGATTTTGGGGCTTAGGGTTCATGGTTTAGGGTTTCGGGCTTGGGGTTTGGGGCTTTAGGGATTAAAGGGTTTCCGTCCTTGGGGGCCCACAAAGTTCCAATCAGAAGCCCGCTTGGGTGGTTGAGGGCTCTGTTCCGTCAAGGGTTTCTATGAGGGTTCCATTAGGGTTTGGCACTAAGGCTTCGGGTTGCGGTTTCCTTCAAGGGCTTGTATGAGGGCTCCGGTAGGGCGTGGAAGGTCGGAACTCGGAATCATCTTTCGTTTCGGACCAAGAGTCTTGCTATCGCAGTTACCCATTCCGCTGGCGTGTGCCTCGGCGACACTGGGTTCGATGTAGCGGGCTCTAGATGGGATTTTCTGGAAATAGGGGACCCTAGTAGAGCACCTTATAAATAGTAGGATCGTTATTATAAGGACCCCAAAATACGGTACCGCTAATTTCGGAAACTCCCTGAAGCACCTACGTGTGTTACCGTGTGCTTACAGATGTATGTGTCTGCGCAAGGATCTCAGTGTCGAGCAACATAGGAGGGAAGGATCAGTAAGCCAAGTACTCAGCATGCCTAGCCGAGTGCGCGGAAGAAGTCCGTTCAGAATGGCGAACCGGCCTTTTGCAATCTCAAGTTGCACTACAGTAAAGATATTATTATTTTATAATATAGTCTTCCCCAGCATCCTGTTCTTACTTTTTATACGGTTCCTATAAAATTCATACATAATTATTCAAGAATGCTGAATCACATCCAAGTTGCTGCAGCGGCAAAGCGTGGAAAATGGAGAATAGCTGCGATGCTTGAGCCGATAAGCTCTGCCTGGCAGCGGCTCCGGATTGAGCGATATATTTTGGGGCTTGTTACAGGTTCAAGCTTGTTGCTTGCTTGGGTGTCTACAGGGTGGTCACACCCGCAAGCGAGTAGGGGACGTGAATGTGGAACAGAAGGTTCTGAACTTTAAACTTCGAATATCGGGGTGTCTGTCGGCAGGATCAGATGACTTAGTAAGTAGGTCACCAATAAAGCTACGGTGTCTACACCGCACTCCCCTTCTTTGCCTTGAGCATTTGACTACGGCCCCCTTCTAGTCAGCTCGGCAAAAGAAAAACCTGCAAAATGTGACACTTCTTTGCGCTAAGAAAGCTCCCGAAAAAAACATTGTACGCTGCGAGAGTTGAAGCAGTTCTCAGACGTCCAGGCGGTGTGTTTCTGCCAAGCCGGTCAGTACGATACAGTATTTAGGGGTTTATGGCATCGACAACCCCTACACTCCCAGAAGCCTTAACCCCGCCTTTTTGATATCGCGGCCCAGAACGGCCCCTCAACAACTCCGGCCGTTTGGCGGAGCGCTACTCTGCACAACTTGAGTTGGGATGGCAGCAAGCTCGGCACAACTTCCCCTTCCCAACCGTCTGGGGACGGAGGAAGTCTTCAAAAGCCGCAAGGCCTTAGGCCACCTGCGGCACTATTCCAAAGGCAGTCCCAGTCGTATGGACGTAAATTAACCCGGGCCTCGGGCTATCTTTAAATTTCTCTTTCCGGGCAAGGGTTTCGGGTCGGTGCTTGTTACCCTGGGCATGAAATTAGCCCAACAGCCTTATATAGTATGGTCTTTGGGCCCAAAAGCCTTAATATATGAGTCCTCAGATTCCTAGAGTTATTGGGGCATTCTACGACAAACATCCCTGACTCACAGCGGTCACGGTGGCTGCTTGAGGAGCATCCGATCACATGATTTTCGGTCCTGTGGAAGAGAATATGGGGGCCTTCGTAGTTGGAACCGTAAGAAACAGTATTGGTAGTATTCGTAATGGTTCAGGCCCCTTTATTGGTTGCAGTCTTTTCCGTTGGCGGAACGGTTGATGATGATGTTGATGGCAGCAGTCCCGAATTGCAAGGTGTTGCAACTGTTTGCAACTTCTTCCCGGGAGGGTTCTTAGAAACCCTTTGGTTTGATGGTTGAACAGTGCGAGCTTTCGTATGGCAGGAGTTACCGCAATCCAGTTGCATGTTTCGGGTGTTTCAAACATTTTTTAACCCCGCAAACCGAAGCTCCACCCGAACCCGCCCGAACCGCAAACACACAACCCAAACTCGAACCCACGCTTCAAGAGTTTGCAGCTGTTCAAATGCTGAAAATGCAACCTGCAGCGTGAATCCCCAGCCGTTTCCTGGCCACGTCCCGTTAGGAAGCATCTAAAACAGACCCCGCGCAGTAAACGACGAAAAGACTGGTGTAATTGTAGAAGATTATTCTAACTATTGTATTCTAGCTATTAAGGCCCCTTTCGTAGAGTGGTCGCCAAGAGGAGTAAACCTCAACCTGTGGACTCAGCCAGTACTATAGGGGCCTTAATAGTGATATTGCTGTTTCGGGGCCCACTATACCAAAACTACAGGTGTTTTATACTGTAACTATAATTAGCATCAGGCCCCTATGTTACCGCATTTCTACAGGGTTTGGGTGTCGGATCAACAAATTAAAGGTTTAAACTGTCGGGTAAGCCATTCAAACCAGGACTGGTCGTAAGACCTGCTCCCCGTGAGACATCTTTAAGAGTTCCTTTCAGGGTGCTATAGGATGTAAGGTTTCTTTAAGGGCTCCTTTAAGGGTACTATAGGGTTTAGGGTTTCGGGGCTTTTAAGGGTACTAGGGTTCTGCAGGTTCCTTTGAGAGTCCTGCGTTGTCGAAAGACTTCACCCACTCGATGGACCAGAAGTCGTTTGCAAGGTCTGGATTGCAGATGTATGCCTCAGCTGGATTCAATTCAGGGCCTAATTGGTCTGGAAAATGTAGGATATGTGATGTACGCCTAGTGGCCTAGTGGGGACAGAACTCAGTGTTCAACTATGTGGGCTGTTGCAGCACGGGCTGTGGAGGGCCGAACCATTAGACCTCAAGGTCCTCCTGTCAAAAACAGAGCCATTCTCTGTATCTATACTAGACCTGCGAGTAGCCTAGGAATAAAAAGGGTGTCCTTTTTGGTATAAATGGGGCTGTAAGGGAGCCAGAACCCTAAAAAAAGGAATAAGGGCTTACGCTGGGTCCTAGTATATCTATATCGAAATTGATGTCTATATCAGTCTGTAGGACGGAAGATCTCTTGTTGAGACCCGGAGCCTGCATATCCCAAAGTACAGGAGTTTAGGGTTTAGGGTTTAGGAGTTTGGGGTTTTGGGGTTTAGGGGTTTAAGGTTAGGGTTTAGGGGTTTAGGGGTTCAGGAGTTCAGGGTTTAGGGGTTTAGGGCCTTAGGGGTTTAGGGTTCAGGGGCCGGAACCCAACACCCTCATATAAAACAAGTTACAAACCCCATGGCTCTATGCAAAGGCTGCACCCAACACTGAACCTGACATAAACACAGCATCACTACATCATCATGCAACCTAGTACTGTCCAGGGGCTGAGAATTCATAGTGCGCTTTGGGGTGCGTGTTTCGCACACCCCGTGATCGTATGACACACTATCGCATCATATAAAAACACCATGTGGAATAACATAACATCATATATATATATATATGTTTTGATAAACCTGCTAAACCTGAATGGACACGATGTCTCGACCGGCACCATCCGCCAAAGCCAAGGTGCATAGGGCATGTAGAGTAGCCCTTGTCGCCCCACCTAAAGCCGAGGGGTTTAGGGTTTTAGGGCGCCCACCTATAACACCGATGGGTTTAGTATTTGGGGTTTCGCGATTGGGTTTGATGGTTTAGGGTCCACGGGTTTCTTGTTTAGGGTGTAGGGAGCTTGTAGGAATGAGGGAGATCTAATTCTCTACGGGCCTCCGGACTTTTGATGTGACATGGCGGCTGAATCCACTGATGAAGATGAATGGTCAGGGTGATGCATGCGGTTAGGCTTAAGGCGCTGAGTTTGAACAGCTATCCCCTGACTGTCTCTATATCATAGCCCTACCCGAAGTACGGAAGACCCCCACTTAAAACATCACTATACTGTGCCATGATTTTGCTATACTATATACTATGATATACGATAATACAGCTTGTTCAAGCTACTCGTACAAGGCTTTGCAAGACGCTGAGTGTTGAGGATCCCACTGGTCGCCCCAGCTGTTGCGGACGATGAAGCATTCCTTCAGTTTAGGCTTCCGCTTGTAGTGTTTAGAGTTGAGGGTTTAGGCTTTAGGGTGTCGGTTTTGGGGTTTAGGGTTGGAGGCTCCCAACCACAGAAGCAACGACGCCCTGAAAACATCTGTGTCAGGATTTAAGAATAGATACCGTCCTTGCGGATGACGCCTTAGCGATTGAGGGTTAGGCTGCGGGCTTCTAGACTTCTAGTTTCTAGGCCTCACAAGGCTTGTGGCTTTGAGGCTTAAACCCCCAGACGGAATCCAGTCTAGTCTTACCGAACGTTTGAGCCCAGCATGACCATTTCGTCCAAAAGCCTGCTAGCCGAGACCCCCTGTCAGAATCTGCATACCTGAGAAAGCTTTCTAATATACGGGGCTTTAATGAGTATTTTGGAGGTTCCTTATTATAAGTATAAACTGATATACCCAAACCCTATCCTAATCATGTACTCAGCTGCACAACCCTGTCATCCAAGCTGCGAAGCCTGAAGAGCAAGCTCTGGCTTCAAACCCGAAGCAGTAGACTCCTCAAGTCCAAAACCTTGTTGATGTAGGAACCTGATTAAGAAACCCTGGGCCTATAACCCCAAAAGAGTAGGATTCATAGAAGGAGCCCCAGTGAAGGTTCAAGGTTTCTTCATCAGCTTCCTACAATACCCCAATCAACCATCGAAAACATGCTAGTTGCTAATTCCCTGTAAATCGTTTAGGGTTTGAGGTGTTCTGTAAGTTCCTAGACAGTCCTGGAAATCGTCGTAGCCCACAGCGCAAACCTCAGTGTCGCTTGTTCGGCTTGTGGAAGGAAACTTTTTGTAGGGTATATCAGGTTCTAGTGGGCGGCTCTATCGCTTGCCGTGTGATGTGGAAGATGTACTCGTCGCTTTACTCATTAAAACATCTCACGTGCGTTGTGGCTGTAGCTTGCAGCTTCATGAACCGAAGTCTTTCGTAGAGGTCCGTCCGCTGTCTGACACCGTGTAGCTCTTAAACAAACATCTCACTGGTCAACAACTGCCGACCCTAAACCCGAAGTGCAAGAGCACTCTGAGCCGTAAACCCTCTGGGCAGCTCTAGACCCCTCTAACATCTTTGCAGAACTCAGATACATTGACAAGACATCAACAAAGACATGTTAACAACCTACAACCTAACTAAACCCATGAAGGCTAAAAAACACCTGCCAGCCCCAACCCCGTAACATCCTGGACCCCGGAAACCTATTCTTCATGTCAACCTCAAGCACTCTATAGTGCCCAAGGGGCGGCGTGCCCTCCTCGTTCCTCTTCATCCGGGAGGGGCATGACCATCCTTAGGCCGTTTTCTAGAGTAGCCACTGGTTCAGGGTTTAGGAGTTCAGGGGTTTAGGGGTTGAGGGTTTAGGGTTTCAATTTTTAGGGGTTAGCTTCGGAGCTACAGATTTTAACAAAACTGCTACGCACAGTACGCTCACCAGTGTACAAGCGATGGATCCTGCAATCCATGGCATGAAGAATACTGAATACTGCTGCTGCTGCTGCTGCTGCTGCTGCTGCTGCTGCATGCTAGAATGCGCTACCAGCACGAGTGATACCACTCCTGCTACGTACTTTTTTCACTGCTAATAACGGCACTGCCAGTAGTATGCATACCTTGAGCGCCCTCAGTCTCAAAGCAAAGCCACTGCTGCAATAACCCATTCGAGTTTGACTTTAATGAATAAAATACCCTAAAGAGAATGTTTTTGGCAGAAAGAGTAGAAGCCACACTGGTAACAGTCGTGGCCCCAACCCCTGAATGGTTGACCGGTACTATTTGGAAAAACTATGTACTTGTGACAGTGCTGTGTGATGCCGATTAATGCAAGCGTCTTTCCAGTCGATGCCACTTCCTTCGTCTGGAAGCTTGGAAATACTGAGAAACCAAAGACAAACGGATACCCGTTGGCGATGCACATCTTCATCTGGGTCAGCTCCTGCGTCAGCAGAGGCATTTCGTTTGCTGCGTTATAAACATGGTTCAACTGATCTGTGCATACCATGCTGGTGGTCTCTCTCACAGTCTGTTTTTCGGATTTCGGGCAGGCCGCACATCCTGGGGGCTGTGCAAATCCCAAGCCCAAAAGTGGAGCATCCTCAATTCCAGAACCCTCACGCTAGGTTCGGACCTCAGATGCTGCCTCTTGGACAACGATTATTCATGTAGTCGACCTCCATAATATCGGGGCCTTAATCATTAGAGTAGGGTGTTGGGGCCCATTGTATTGTAACTATAGTAAGGAACCCCCAAAACAGTATAAAGGGAACTCCAGAAAGTTGGAATATGGATTAATGGTAGGATCCCCTATAATTTACCTTAAAGGGGTTACGATAATGTTATTCCAACTTTCTGGCTTCTACTGTAGGTAATTATCAAGGCCCCTTTCCTTATAGAACCCTACTATAGACCCCTAATAGACCCCTTTAAGGATCCCTTTCTTGTTAAGGCCCCTTTATTACTGCTTCACGGCTCTTGTCAGGGTCGTGGCTCTAGGGGTCGGCGCGGTTCCCGGGCGGCAACCCGGATACTTGGGCTGAATTGAGGAGAGCTACTTGAAGGCTCATGGGACTTAGTAAGTAAGGTTATAAGTAGCAAATAATTAGGATAACCCCACTTAGGGGACTTATAACCCCAATTATAACCTACTTACTAAGTCCCATGATCCTCTAAGTAGTGGGATTTCTAACTTTTGAGATCCGGGCTTGCTGCTCAAAGTATTGTTGAGGAATTACGGTTACCGGCTCTTGAGGGTTTTCTGGGAGCAGTTCTGTGTGAAGTTCTATCAGGTGTTGCTTTGGAGGACCCGAAATAGAAGTGAACGCGAGAACCGTTCACGTCTAGGGGGCGCTTCCTAATGTAGGCGTCTGCACACTGGGCAATGGTGTTTTTTTGTTGAGGTTTGTCCTCCACTATGACTGCACCGTAGTAGAATGCCTTAAACCCCTTTTCTGTCTATATGCCCCCCCCCCCCCCATGTTGCATGAGCCCCTTCGGCCGTGAATCTTGAAGCCAAAAGTTCTCAAACGTTGAGACCCACGCACAGGGCTCAAAAAATTACAGCCCCAGGCCCAAGCCCCGTCCTGAGCCACCCTCGCATAACCAACGATCTTGCACTTCCTGGCAGTCCGACTCTGTCAGGTTGCATTACAGTGCCAGGATTTAGAGTCTGGGGCTTGGGCTCAAGGGATTGGGCTTCAGGAGTGTGGCGAAAACCATTTTTGGGGGCTCAGGGTTTAGGCGGCTGTTTAGGCTTCTGATGCTTTTGCAATCCACCAGAACAGAAACTTTTCAAGGTTTTATAGGCCTTTTGTGGAGGCTAACCCCTCAACCCTACACCCTCAACCGCAAAGCTTGATCCTGAACCCCAAGTCTTTAATCAACTTTAAACATCCCTGGAGGCACACAGGTGTAGTCATCGCCTAATTTTTGCAACAAAGTCACAGTACGCAATCTCCCACCTTTTCCAATACAAGGATTCCGGCCGAGCATCTTTGCAAGCTCGTAGCAGAACCACTCTGGCTCTTGCTTGAACTTCTCCCCGATGTTTTCATACCTTGAACAACCGATTTCGTTGGAACAAGGCCCTTTCAGGGCAAGCTACCCCTCGCACAATTAGAATTACAATAGCAATCACATCAGCACCAAACAAAACACACGGTTAATAGTTTGTTTAAGTCTGAACAAGACACGACGGATGTGAGAGTGTAGCACCGAAGTGAACTCCTGCGTTCCAAACTCTCAGTGCCCCCGCGCGAGTGATAAACTGCAGCCTGACCACCCCACACGGTTCGACGCCTCAACCCTAAACCCCTAAACGCTAAACCCCTCAACCCCTAAAGCCTAAACCCCTCAACCCCTAAAGCCTAAACCCCTGAACCCCTAAACCCTAAATCCAAACCCCTAAGCCCTAAACCCCTGAACCCCTAAACCCTACATCCAAACCCCTAAGCCCTAAACCCCTGAACCCCTAAACCCTACATCCAAACCCCTAAGCCCTAAACCCCTGAACCCCTAAACCCTACATCCAAACCCCTAAGCCCTAATCCCTGAACCCCTAAACGCTAAATCCAAACCCCTAAGCCCTAAACCCCTAATCCGAAGCCCCTGAACCCCTGACCCCGAACGCCTAAACCCGAACCCCTAAGCCCTAAATAACCCAGAAGCTGAAGCCTGAAGCCCTTCCACATGGAGGGAGGGATGACACCGCGGGGCGGGGAGGATGCCGGCTAATGCCGGCACATAGGACAGGGTTCTCTTAAAGGGTCTATAAGGGCTACTATAAAAGGGATCTATAAGGGTACTATACATGGTAGGGGCCATAATAATTAGAATAGGGTTTTGGGGCAAATCGGACATGCGTCTGAGGCGAACAAAGCTGAAGATGTCTATTGCATCCTTGGAAAGCGTAGCTGCTTATGAGCTACCACAAGCTAAGCTAGTTTGTTCAGTATGCCTTCAATGTCTCGCAACATGGAATCATATTTTAATGACCAGTTGTCGAGCATCTGTACAGAAAAGTGAACTGTACTGTAACATCTTCGAGTGATGTTACGCGGCTCAGCAGAAAAGTTAAGGGTCTTACTGCAGCAAGCGCAAACTTCGACTGGCGCCCAAACCGGCTCAAGAAGGTGCGTGTGAAATTCATTTTCAAGAATCAAGTTTTGTTTGAATCTCTCAAGAACGTCCTTAAATCTAGCAATGCGGTTTTTGGCGGCTTTGAACCTTTTGATTGGACCAGGTTTGGTCGGAAGCGCGTTTCGGATTTCATCAGAAGACATAGTAACCCATCTGTCAAGAGCAATCTGTGTGATGCAACTAATCCTTACAGTAACGCGATTATTGGCAATATCATCCTTGAGAGTACGAATCTGTTGAATCCAAGGGATAGGAATGCCTTTCCTTCTGAATCTCGGAATCGGCCATTTTTCAGACAAGGGATGATTCATAAGAATTTTTGCTTTGAGACCAACAGCTTCGCAAAAGTCCGTAGTTGCGATACGGAGCACCTGCGGATTAACATTGGATGCCATTCTAGCTTCAACCCGAAGTCGCTGAATGTTATTAGAAGCAACCAAAAGATTCCACTCCGGGATGAAAAACAAGTCATCAGGGAAAGCCGAATAGGGTTTTGGGGCCCCTTCTACTATAAGTATAATAAGCAACCACCAAAACAGTATAGGTAATTGCTGAGGCCCCTATATTATATGATACTGGTAGTGCCATGGTCCTTTTGCAGTCCATGGTTCAGTTCTCAGGGTCTGCGGTTCAGGCCCACGGAAAGTCGTGCTTGAAGTAAGCATATACAAGGGCATTCCCAATTAGCTGTGCAAGACAGCCACGCCCCAAAACCAGAATACGTGAACTCTAAACCTCAGGCTCCGACACCAGAGCAGGTAGATCTCTTGTCCGAACATCCAAGCACAGCAAGCAAGTCCACATTGCAACAGAACATGCAAGGGACCCTGGTATAGACCCCCGAATAGAATCCCAATCGAGTAAGGATCCCCCCAAGAACAGGAACCGTAACTTCAAAAAGCCCTAGTTGAGTGTGCTCTGAACCTGATTCCCTAACCCTAATCCCTACACCCTGAACCCTGATCCATAAAACCCCAAAACCCTAATCCCTAAACCCTAAACTCTTATCCAAAAGCCCGAAACCCTAACCCTAATCCAAGCTGTGGTGCGTCCAGACTTTTTCTGGGCAAACTCCGACGCGAGCCATGGTCTGGACAGGGCAGCGGCCAACACTCAAGAAGGGTATGGCACCATCGGCCATGAAAGGGTTTAGGTGTCAGGATTTCCAGCTTGGGCTTGAGGGTTTAAGAGCTTTAGGTGTCAGGGTCTCCAGCTTGGGCTTTAGGGTTTAAGGGGTTTAGGCGTTAGGGTACGGGCCATGATGGTTTTTGTTTAATTTCATGTTCCGTCTGCCAAATCTGGAATTCTAGAAGTCACAATCGTCAGAGGTGGTCATGCTGCAACCCTGTTGCCCTCCTTCAGCTCCGTGACATCCCACTAAATTATACCGATCAGGTGTTGGGGTTTCTGGTTCAGGGTTTCTTATTGTTGTATTGTTTAGGTTCTCATGCAATCACCAACCCTCTCTACGCAGCTTAGCAGCTGTGAGATCGCAGCTCCACGCCTAAACTCCCGCCCTGAAGGGCCGTCCAGCCTTGATACCATCGCGGAGCATGCCGCCGATGTCCCATCTGACAAAACCCTCGACGTACCGCTCGTTGTAGTAGATGAACCTGAGAGTCTTGGAAGCCTCAAAACTTAGACTAGGGCTTCGGCGCTTGATCGTGTACATAGAAGCGGGCTGTTCATATAGGGGCATGATATTACGAATGATCCAATGCCCAGGCCATTTGTTGATAGCTCGAGGACTTGCAAGGATCTTTGTGGAGGATGTGAGTTTACACGTGCATCCGATGGCCTACCGCTCAATGAGGGTTCTGGGTTTAAGGGGTTAGGGTTGAGGGTTGGGGGGTTTAGGCTTGGGTTTAGGGTTTAGGGGATTTAGTTGTTTAAGGATTAGGGTTTAGGGTTTAGGGGTTAGGATCTTAAATTCTGCAATTCCAGTTCAACGCCTGTGACTGCTGAGAGCCCCGAGCCCAGTCATGGAAGCTGCAATTTGTCATGTGAACCCTGAACCCTAAACCCTAAGATGTGTCATGAGACAAGATTGCCTCTAACAGCACTCGTGCTCTTGCAGTAATCCAGCAGCGTTAATAAGTAGAATAGGGTTTTGGGGGTGTATTGTATACTATAATTATAATTAGGTGCCCCCGGCGCCCCCCCCCTCCAAAAAAAAAACTGTGTGTATACATATATATATATATATATATAAATAAAACAGAGGTAATAATTTAGGCCCCTTTTGTACCATGTTGACGACTCTTGCTGGTAGTAGTGCTTGGGGTTCTGATGCGATGATGGTGGTGGTTGCAAGTGCTGCTGTCATGGCCAGTGTTGCCGTTACTGAAATTATTGCGGCCCCTTGCCTTTGCTAGCCTCGGGGAACTCAGCATGTAGAATACAGGCTATATGCAGCATATGCTGCTGTACGACTCCATGAGTACTACCCACCTGGCACGTGTCCCGGTTCTTCAAGCACCAGAAAAAAGCCAAGTCTTTACTTGAAGGCTCATGGGACTTAGTAAGTAAGGTTATAAGTAGGCTATAATTAGGATAACCCCACTTAGGGGACTTATAACCCCAGTTATAACCTACTTACGAAGTCCCATGACCCTCTAAGTAGTCCAGGAAGCAGGCGGCTCGGAGTGAAATCGCGAAAGTCAGCGTGATCCTTGCTGGTCCCGGCTGTCTCAGTGAGAGGGGGTTCGGGTCAAAACCTTTGCCTTTATTGATGCTTTGCAAGTTCAGTGGTACAGGGTTTCGAGAGCTCAGTTCAGCTTTGGGAAACTTTCGAGGGCGCAATGCAGAGGCTAGGACAGCGAGCGATTCCATCCCCTTCTTGCCCTGTACATGAAAATTTCGCCACGCCCTACCCTAAACCTGTAACGGCCACTCCTCCACCGTCATCTTGTGGACAGTGAAGTGGAAGGCAGCTGCCAAAGCATTGGCCGTGCAGCTGCCCAGGTTCCCTCTCCCACGGGCCCGCTTGAAGGATCAAGGGAACCAGGCCGTTGTGTTCTCGGAAGTTTGTTGTCGTTGATATGATTACGATGATAGCTGCTGATGTTGCAGTTAACATGCATGCTGATGTTGATGCTAACACAGATGCAAAGTTGAATATTGCATGTTGAATGTTACTCATCAATGCAAGCGTTGGTGCTGATTCTGGTGTTGTCGTTTATGCTAACGCTGCACATCATGCTGAATGCTGGCGCTGTTAATGCTGCTCGATAACGTTAGTGCTCTTTCAAATGCTGCCTCTATTGGCAATGACTGTTCGTGTATCTACAACTTTTTTTGGGCTGGCAATCTCAATGATGTTGATGATGTTGCTGCCGTTCTTAATGTTAACTGTCATGCGTCTGCTTGTCACGATTAACATTAAAAAGAGTTCTAACTCGATGGTAGATGTCCATGTTAGCGTTGCCCCTTAATGCTAATGTTAAAAATGTTCGTGGTCATGCTCATGTCAGTGCGAGCAGAGCGGTTCTGAATGTGAATATCACTGACAACGCTTTTGTTGATTTGATTTTAACGTTTGGGCTACCGTTCATGTTACTGTTGAAGTTATTGTTCATGTTCCTGGGGATGTTATGCTTCATGTTCAAGTTGATGTTTGTGTCAAGGCAAATGCTACTGAAAATAACCATATGAACACATGAAAACGAAGTACGTACCCATACATAATGCCATACATATATCATACATACATCTTTAACGGCTCTTGCAGATTTCACTCCGGCCTGCTATGCTTAGTGCTGCCATCAATAGTACTGGTTCTCGGTCTATGACTATGATGATCATTGCAATCACATTTGCTCCTGAGGGTTTTGAATGCTTCAGACGAACTGCGCAGAGTGCACAACTGTGGTTATAACATGCTTGTTAAATCAACGTGTCCTCCTAGGATGCAATTTGCGGCTTGATGATGTCGGGATCCAAGCCTTCATGGCTTTGGTTTTGTAGGTTTCCTGCAGGATTCATGTAGGCTTGAAGGCCTTTCTTTGGATTCAGTGTATAATGTAAGGCTGCTAAATGTTCGAAATTGCTGCTGTGCAGCGTTAACCAAGACCGCAAACAAACACTTAACCGTAGGCCCCAAGCCTGCGTTTATGGTCTCTCAAGGAACCCGATATCTAACGCTTCAGTCTCATACATGGGGGATTAACTAGGCTCGTTGTAGGCTCCACGAAGGTATGACCCTTCTGTTACAAGAACGCCGGAAAGGGATCCGCAATAGTAAGGAATCTCCATATTTCAAGCAATGATAGCACGCCTTGGTTAAAAACAGGAAAATCTTCATCGGGACGCAGATCAACGACCTCCTTCTCACCTGCGTGCTGCACGAAGTTGTGGAGGATTCGGTTTGCTTCCTTCAACCCTATGCTCTGAACTACACCACTGAACCACAAATTAAACTACAAGGAGGGTACACAAATCCAAAAAACCTGGGTTGACTGTACTCGACTACTTGGGTTTAGGAGTTAGGGTCTCGACCAACTGCAGAACGACAAGTCAAGGACTCTCAGACTTCTTGCTTGCATTCGAAATGCCAGGAATGTCTGAAGTCCTGGCATAGATCCCGCAAGTACATGGGAGTTTCCGAAAATAGGGAACCCTAATATAGTACCGTACCCTAAATAGTAGGATCCATATTATAAGGACCCCAAAGTAAGGTACCCCCTATTCTCGGAAACTCCTACATAGTGGGAAAGACTTTGGGGTTGATTTCTTTGAACTGCTAAGTTCCTCAAGTCCTCGCGGGGGGGCCACACTACACGGTTTTTCGAGGCCCTTCTTGGCTTCTCAACCATGTAGAAACACTACTCTTCCCGGCCTTAGAAACCCTGAACCCTAAAACTGAAGACTGTATGCCGTGGGCCACCTGATGCGCTCATCCGTTTCCTGGTCCTCGGCGCGTCGGGCAACAGGCATCTCATGCTTCCTTATGTACTGCCAGTGTGTATGTATGTATGTAGTTGAGGGGTTACCTGGACCCTGAAGAACCTACCTTCTTAGGGTTCCCCCTAATATGATTTCCTTATATAAGTCCTTAAAAAGGTAGGTTATTTGGGGTTAAGGTAGGGCTTAAGATGTGTGTATGTATGTAGGTATGTATCTTTGTTGTCTGTTGTATGTGCGTGTATAAGCATATAAAGGGTACATGTATGCGCATTATGTATTTGTACGCTCGGATAGCTGTCAATTCGTGCATTTGTCCAAGGTACTGCTAAGCTATGCTCATTATTTGTCGATTATGTGCACACAAAAATCACCGACAACAGGCTATAGACCACTGTCGATATGCAATGCCTGGTGCAGTATTCAGTCTCACGGCTGTGCAGATCAGAACACCCATGCTGGCTTTGATCAGTCATCCACCTGGAGACCGCAACACCCTCCGGCACATGCAAGGTAAAGTTTCAAGCGGCTTCGGGGCACGGAGTTTAAAAGCATTGATGTTCGCAATACAGTAGGAGGCAGCCTGTAGAAGCGCTGGCAGTGAATTCACAGCACGAGGGGAACGCCGGGTCCCCGCTTCAAGGCCGGTGTTGTGTAGCCCCGAAATGGGGGTTTGCGAAAATAAGGGACCCTAATATAGTACCCTAAATAGTAGGATCCTTGCTATTACAAGGACCCCCTAAAAAGGTCCCCCTCAGTTTTGGGAAACTCCCAAATCGGAAACCCCAAACAGCAAATCGGTACAGGCAGGGTCGGCCGGTCAATGAACCTTTCGATACTTAATAGGCCCCATAGTAGTTGCTTTCTGGGGGTTCATACAAACAGATTCCTACAAGGTACTCCCAAACAGGAACTGCTATGGGGCCTAGGGTAATGCCCCACTGTCAGACTGAATGTTGAACAGTGCACTTCACTGAGTTGGTACCATAGCGAAAGGCACTGAACAAAAAGCCCTGAAGCCTGAACTGTGAGCCATAAAAAACCCTAAGCCCTAAATCCTAGACTCTAACCTAAGCCATATTATTAAAAAAAAATCCTTCAGCCCTAAGCCCACAATCCGACCCCAAGCCCCACAACCTTCAAATACAAAACCCTGAACTCTGCTAAGCTCGAAGCTACAAGCTAAAGCCAAGCCCTCTGCCTAAGCCCTGAACCCTAACCGCTAGACCCTAATCTACATGGAAAGCCGTACAGGCTAAACCCTAGGCCCTCAACTCCCTGAAATGTCCGAGATTCCCGTTCGGCGGCTCCACCTCTTTGAACGTTACGTGGTGATCCCTGTGGTCTGGCTGGTCCTGAGCTCTGCTACAACGGTGCGGGGCCCTTCTTGGTGTGTATATATATATATACACACGTACAATCAGTAGGTGTATATATATATATATACACAGACATTATAGGATCGAACAGAAAGCGACTTAAAATTGGCATTTACAATAGCACTATGTAGAAGAGAACAGCACAGGATATATATACATATATATATATATATATGTATACGCACATGCGCATATATATATATATATATATATATATATATATATATATGTGATATGCTATGATATGATATGATATGATATGATATGATATATGATATATGATATGATATATGATATGACATATGATATGATATGATATGATATGATATGATATGATATGATACGATACGATACGATATGATATGATATATGATATGATATATGATATGATATATGATATAATATATGATATGATATATGATATGATATATGATATGATATATGATATGATATGATACGATACGATACGATATGATATGATATGATATGATACGACATGACATGATATGATACGATATGATATGATATGATATGTTATGATATAGTTGCGTAAGTATCTGTAAAGGGGGCTCCTTAAAGGCTCCTGAAGAACGTTGGTGAGTGCATCTTCCGGGTGCGGTCTAAGGAAATACACTAGAAGACAGGTCCTGTGAGAAGAGGACCTACTGCAAAAAGGCTTGATTGCATAGTCATAGTACTAATAGTAATGACATTATTAATGACACCAAAAAAACAAGAACCATAACTTCCACATAAACAAGAAGGGATCATGAGCCTTTGGTGGTGGGATGTCGAGCAGTAGGACGAAAGCACTTTCGAGAATTGAGGCTCCCACAAAAGAAACAACTCCAGCAGTAGAGTAGGCCCTACTTAGAGGATCAGGGGACTTAGTAAGTAGGTTATAACTGGGGTTATAAGTCCCCTAAGTGGGGTTATCATAATTATGACCTACTTAAAACCTTACTTACTAAGTCCCATGAGCCTTCAAGTAACCCTGAGGCCAATCGGTGTCGGTCCTTCCTCCAGCCCATCCTCTGAATGCTGCGCTGGGAGATCGACTGGAGGCTTGCATGACTTCCTGTCGGGACATATTCTTCGGAGATTTGGGGTTCAGGCATAGGGTGGGTGTCTCCGATTTGGTGCCTAGTCCATTGCGTTAATAGTTGACTATCAGCATGACAGGGTGCCCTGTATACTATTTAGATTCCTCCCACCGGGACGCGACCCCAGTTTTAAGAAGCCGGTATGGGTTTATGCGTTTCGAGGTCTCGGTCAGGCCCCCAGCAACCATGGACCAAGATGTCGAACCCCAGGCCCTAGGCCCTAACCCTTTTCCCGAAGCCCTAAACCCTAAACCCTAAACCCTTTTCCCAAAGCCCCAAAGTCGTGGCCTTTGTCTGTAAGCGTCGGCTCTGCTTTTACGACTTCCGGCGGCGAAGTCGATTCCGAGGTCCTGGGCAAGGCTTAGTAGCAGGGCACAGGGGTCCAAGATTGTAGTCACACATTGGGGTTTAGGGTTTAGGGTTTAGGGTGTGTAACAGTATGCGCGCGGTGGGTGCGCCTTTTACTTTAGGAATAGGGGGCGCGCCCACTAATCGCGCGCTTGCGTCAGCATGTAGTCCCGCCCCAACCACCCCAACTATTCTCAATTAGGGTTTAGGGTTCACCCCCCAAACCCCCCTCAAGGGGGGCTTTCTTGCTCTCTGCTTCCTTTCGCAGCTTGACATGTAAACAACAATATTCCTCCAGAACTCACAGCTGAAATGGTTTCTGTCGGGTTGTGGGTCCTCGCGGCCTGTGCCGGCCGCTCGACAAAAAGCAAAGGTTTCCAACAAACAGCTTGCATCTCGCGCCCTGTAAGGGCTGCTCGAAGTGCGAACAAGGTAGGGCAGGGCGGCAGCAGGGCAGGCAGGGCAGGGCAGGGCAGAGGCAGGGAGGCAGGGCAGGGCAGGGCAGGGCAGGGCAGGGCAGGGCAGGGCAGGGCAGGGCAGGGCAGGGCAGGGCAGGGCAGGGCAGGGCAGGGCAGGGCAGGGCAGGGCAGGGCGGGCAGGGCAGGGCAGGGCAGGGCAGGACGTAGACGCGTGTCATCCCATATTTCATCCTCCAACGGAGGGATATTCGGATGCATGAATACCTCCAGTGCCGCCTGTTCATCGCCCCGATCAAAATAGAGATCCACAGTAATGACCATCGCAGCGGTGATACAGCGCAGGGCAGGGCAGGGCAGGGCAGGGCAGGGCAGGGCAGGGCAGGCAGGGCATTGCAAGCAGGGCAGGGCAGGGCAGGGCAGGGCAGGGCAGGGCAGGGCAGGGCAGGGCAGGGCAGGGCAGGGCAGGGCAGGGCAGGGCAGGGCAGGGCAGGGCAGGAGGGCAGGGCAGGGCAGGGCAGGGCAGGGCAGGCGCTCTCAGCAATTTAGGGTTTAGGGTTTAGGGTTTTGGGGTTTAGGGTCCAACCCACAGAACCATCATCCTGTACCAGTCCTGGTTGACAGGCACCTAACCTGCGGAGGTAGCTGACGCGCGGGCTGGGGTACGTAATGTCCTTTACCCAAGTACCTTTCAAGAACAGAGAGCTCCCAAAACCCGAGAGCCTTCTGAATCTCGTAGTGCCCACCCATAGGCCCCATAGTCGTTCCTTTTGGGGATTACTTTACAGGATTCTAAATATGAACCCCCAAAAGGAACTGCTATGGGGCCTATGGGCAGGCCACTTGCAAAATCTGGACCCTGTCATCGACAACATGCTGCATGAAGATCAAGCGAAAGCTTCTGCATTCGAAGGTGTGGGTAATTTTGGAGGGCTTGCCTGGGGCCCCTAAGAAAGCACAAGAGTAAAACTTCGGATAGGGATACTCCATGTAAGCCCCCGTATAGCGAAGCCCAATAAGGTGGGGCTATCTCGGGAAAATGCCTTTGCCTATGTCCTTTCTGGGTCCCTGGTTCTTGCTGATCACATGTCGCAAGCGGGACTGCACGAAGATCTGCTGATTGCGTGTCGAGCCACTTGCTGTCACATGTCCCCATCTTCAGCCCGCGTGCACCTGGCAGCTCATGCGCCAGCATCCGTAAACGATGATTAGAAACTCGACCCCCTTGCCCTGGCAAAAAAAAGCCACATGCCGTCTCTGGAATGTCGCATGCTGGAAAGCCGCCAACTGCGTGTATCGATCTCCTTTACAATGTGTGTATATATATATGTATATGTGTATATGTACCTACCTATCTAACTATCTGTATACACTGAGCGAAAGATTTACATGGATGTTCACTTCTGTCCATCTTCACTTAACTGACAGCAACTAACTGACCATGGCAGAGTAGTAGAGCCTGGCTATGATCTCTTGCGTCTCCTGCATGACAATCTCGAGCTTCCTGTCTAAACTGTCTGAGCTCTAAACCACAAGCACCAAAATCCTAGATCCTAAAGCCAAACCCTCCTTTTTTCGAACTCGACAGGTCTCCCGAGTTTAGCAGAATCCCAACGTGGAGGTCTGGAGAGGTCATACAGCCAGGAGTCAGCATGTTTTACTCTAGCAGCAAAAACATCTATGTTCGTAGGTCGCCGCAGACCTTCTATGCAGATGAGCTTCCGGGCTTGGCTGTCGTCATAACAAAAAAAGGTTGGAGAAAACTGCATTACACACCCACACATGACACGCATACCACGCAAAACAATAGATAAACACATAACCAACACACAAACACAGACAAAGGCACACACGCACGTATATCATGATATGTATGTGTATTCTATATGAATATAAATATAGATATAAATATAAATAAATATAAATATAAATAAATAAATAAATATATATATATATATATATATATATATATATATATATATATATATCATGCACATCTAACGTGAACGTATATGTCTACATACATATGTACATACATACGTACATACATACATATATATATATATATATATACATATATACATATACATATATGTACATATACATATGTACATATATACATATATATATACACACACACTGACACTGAGAGACAGAGACGGACAGAGCCGGCGCCTGAGATGCAAGCGCCCAGGGCCACACTCACTGATGCTTGGGCCAAGACCGCCACGCCCGCGGCTGGGACGACAGAGCTGCTGGGGTTCAGGGGTTTAGAGGCTTAGGGGTTTAGGGTTTAGAGGCTTCGGGGTTCAGGGTTTAGGGGTGCGTAGGTAATAGGGCTCATAGGGCTTGAGTTTTACAGGGTTTCGTGTTCGGGGTGTAGGGCTCATCAGGTACATACGGTTTAGGGTTCAGTGTTTAGGGTTCAGAGCACTCAGGCTTGGACTTTAGGCACATATTGTATTTGCTGGGAGCCCGATGAAGGCAACACCTGCTGAGTTGTTTGGCAACGCAGACATACACGGCTGAGGCCTCACATGAATCTTTCGACGACTTCATTCCCCAGACCCTAAACCCTAATTCCCCAGCCTAAGCCGCAATGCACGAAGAAAGCATCCGAGGGTGTAAGCCCGAAGCAAAACCTACACTCTCCACGGGAGCTCCAATTTTTGGTTTATAGGGGGCCCACCTGGGCCCCACCTAACCTACCGTTTTAGGGTTCCCTAATATGATGTCTTGGTACAAGTCCTTAAAAAGGTAGGCTATTTGGGGTTCAGGTACTGATTAGAACAGTGTTTTGCGGGGGTACACTATACTAGATAATAATAATCAGGAACCCTACGGAACAATACCGGTAATTGCTTAGGCCCTTGTGCTAATCAGCTGCTAAACCCAAGCAGGGCAAATAAACACTGTACGGACGGTAATGACCTACCGATGAAGGGTAACTTCTCGAAGCACAGCCTAACCAAGATCGGGCTCGGACTGAAACAGTTGGAACTGTCAGAAATTTGTGTGTGTATATGTATGTGTGTATATATTTATATGTATATATGTATATATATATATATATATATATATATATATGAGCCAAGCCGTGCTTGTTCGAAAGAGATTACAAGGACAACTATTGTCACGCGCATTTTTTTCCAAAAGCGCGCCGCTGATAGATCAATTTCCGATCAGGGGCAGCATCAAGTCAAAGTTCGTGAGCAGGCGTTGCAACGTATGGCTGCCGTGATTATGCAGCCTTCTGCTCAGTTTCAAAACATCAATCTTCAAACCTCCGTAACCTCCCTAGCAAGCCACATACCATCGACCCGAACTCATGAAAAGACCCAACACTAGAGATCAAAACACAGTATCGAAAACTTGTGCGAAAGTCGGGGGTGGTGCGCACACTGAGTTTACAGGAATCCCCTCGCACACTGCCAAAACGATTTCGCCCCTCAGGTCCCGCCATACACCTTGACTGCTTTCGGGTTAGGGAGGGTGCGATTTACTATAGGGGCCTGAATAATCAGAATAGGGTTTTGGGGGAGATCATCCTATACTTGAAATAAGGAGCCCCCAAAATAGTGTGGGAAATTATTCAGGCCCCTATAGCAGGATTTTTTTGCTGGTTCAGGGCTTGGGGTGTTTGGGATTTGGAAGCTGTTTGCTACGTCTTCTTGTGACTTACTTCCCCAAGAAGCCACCGAAATGAAAGGTTAAACTTTCCGAATACGAATAAACTGTAACCACCCAGAAGCTTAAAGGTTGGGTATTGGGCAACTAGGTGAAACATGAAGACCTCAACGCAAGACCAAGACTGCTATGGAGCCCAGGCGCAGCTCATTGCCGAGAGGGATACCACCTTTGGGGCGCATCAATGGAAGTTCATGTGCTCACTTCTTGATCGGCTTTGCCGAAGCATTCTTGAAGCCCTCCACCCAGTTGATGGCCCAGAAGTCGGAGGCGAGGGAGGGGTGGCAGATGTACTCGTAAGGCATGTAGAAGTAGCCCTTGTCACCCCACCTTAGGATTTGTGACACGAATACTGGGGGGGGCAGCCAAGCCTTACTGTGGTTCCAGGGTCTGAAGTACCAAAACCCAGAAACGGCAACTGGAACAGGGCTGGGCTACGCCTCTCCCCAGGAGTTGCGGACGATGAAGCACTGCTGGAAGTCGTCGTAGCCTACGGCGCAGACGGCATGGCCGCCCAGCTGCTGGTCGTTCGCCTGGGGCATCACCATCTTGCCGGTCCTGGCAACCTCCGCTGTCTGGAAGCTTGACAGGACGGCAAAGCCGAAGACGAAAGGGTAGCCGCTCTTGATGCACATCTTCATCTGGCTCAGGTCCTGCGCGACGCGGGCATAGCCCATGACCCTGCACTTCTGCGCGATCTCGTAGGCCTGCTGGTTGGGCTCTTGCTTGAAGAAGGTCGGGCCATCGTCGTACTTCCAAACGCTCTCAGGGCAGACACCGACCTTGGACATCGTCTTGATGCCGTCGCGAATCATGGCCCCAGCATCCTGGCTCACGCTGCCCTCAACAAGGCGCTCGTTGTAGTAGATGAACAAGCGGCTTGGGGTGAAGTCGGCAAAGTCCTCCGACGAACCAAGTTCGGGAAGTCGCAAACCCTGCATCTAAGACAGCTGCACCTCCGTCTGGAACAGAAGAGCAACCGTACTGGTAGCGGTAGCGCTATCCACGCACAAGTCGCATGCAAAAGGCTGGCACGCACGCGCACACACACAAACACAGGCACAGGCACAGGCACAGGCACAGGCACAGGCACAGGCACAGGCACAGGCCCAGGCCCAGGCCCAGGCGCAGGCACAGGCACAGGCACAGGCACAGGCACAGGCACAGCCACACACACAGACACACAGACACACAGACACACAGACACACAGACACACACATTGCTGCAAATCAAAGGCTCCAAGAAATTGTCACCGGAAGAAAAGGTTTGTAATTGCCACGCACGGAGTCAACATCACAGCCCACGCCGCCATCGTGGTCGTCGTTGTTGTCATCATCATCATCATCATCATCATCATCATTGACATCAACATCAACATCATCATCGTCATCATTATCATCAACTACCACCACCACCGCCGCCGCCGCCGCCGCCGCAAGCAGCAGCAACAGCAACAGCATCAGCAACATTATCAGCAACAGCAACCAGGTCATCATCAACCATGACCGCGTCCACGCAATTGTCTTTGTCAGAACGACAAGTAAACAATTTGGGCAGTGTGTACGCTAGCCCTGACACTCGTCCCCTGGCTCAGCACACGGAGGCCAGGCGTTGTGGTGAACTATCTGCATCTGTAAACCCTACATGCCTAAACCCAAAGGCCTTGTTGTTCTCTACCTCCATCTTATGAAGGGTGAAGTGGAAGGCCGCGGCCAACGCGTTCGCTGTGCAGCTTCCAAGATGTCCCTGGTCGAAGATGGGGAAGCCACCTGACGCCCCGGGTTTGGGGGTGTCGGGTTTAGGGTTTAGTGGTCTCCATAAGGCGATCGAAATAAGGGATCCATGAGGGTTTGAGGTTCTATAGGATTTTACGGCTTGGTGCTCCGAAAGGCTGCAAAAGGGCTGTACGGCTCACAGGACCAACCGGGTCAGTAGGGCTTTCTTGGGTTGTCGATCAAGATACAAGAGAAACCCTCCAGTTCCTGCATGCCGGTTCCGCGCGATGACCGCTGTTGCTACTGCTGCTTCTTCTGCTAACTGATGGAAACCCAAACCTGAAACCATGGGACTCTCAGCACTCGGAAGTTCGTGAGAAGCTCGGTATAATGTATTTATATATATATATATATATATATATATATACAGGACCCCCCCCAAAAAAAAAACAAAAAAACAAAGTGTCTTAGAGGCACACTGTATCGCAAATACCACGAACATGGAAGTTTCAGGTAAAATCTTTGCTAAAGAGTAAGCAACCCTCCGGAAACAACAAAACAAACAAAAACAACTCGAAGTCTGAACTCCAAACCGAAAACTCTTCAACCCCGGCCCGGGCCCGTGAGTTAGGCACTCAAGCCTTGACCCCAAACCCTCTACTGCTCACGGACGAAGTTCTGCAACTACCCATAACCAGACGAGGGAATCTATCACGAACTACCCGTGCCTGAGCTGCTACTTCTCTCCAACAAATCTCACCAGTAAACCCGAAACACCCCAAACCCTGAGACCCAAAACCCCATCGACCCTGTAGAACCCATTGCACCCCTCATAAAATCCGACGGAGCTCACCTCCACAAAACTCTCGACTACATACTCAAGCCAAAATTCGCGTGCAACCCAAAACCTAAACCACCAATGCTAAGGGTACTCTGCTCCAAATCCCACAGTTAATGTAGGAACCTGAGTAAGAAACCCTGCGCCCATAAGCCCCAAAATAGTAGGTTTCATATAAGGAACCCTACTAAGAAAAGGCCCAAGGTTTAATGGAATAGGGTTTTGGTGCACATTGAACCCCCAAAATAGTATATACAGGTAATTTTTGAGCCCCCTATAATACTCTGCTCCATATCCCACAGCTGCTGAACCCCAGGCAAGGATGGTCCGGCCGTTCATCGGGCGCAGGTCCACGATCTCCTTCTGTCCCTCTGCCTTCTTCTTGATCCTTAACTGTCTGGTTCTTAGTAGGGAATGGATTATGGGGACTATTATTGGGGATTATATAATAAGGGCTACTGTCGGGATCCATTCCCCTATTCCCTACTGAGAACCAGACAATAAAGTTCAGAGCTTTCGGTTTAGGATTTGGAGTTTGGAGCTCTTCCTGAGGTCTAAGGAATTCGCGTCTTGAGTCTGTCGCGCGAGGGGTTTTTCTACGAAGGTTAAGAGGTTAAGTTTAGGGTTCAAGAGTTTGTGTTGTGGGGTTTACCGTAGGCTGTAGGGTTCTGGACCGTGCGTCTTGGTGGGCGCCTCCACCTTTGGGAAGGTGACATGGAGATCGCGGTGGTCCGGCATGTCCTGGGAGTTCCAGAATAGTAGCTCTTAGATAGTACACTCCTGGCTAAGCTACTAAACTCCGTAAGCCCTAAATCCCTAAACCCCCAGTCTTTTGAGGCTTTAGGGCCCGGGTTGGTCAATGTGAGGACTCCGGGGCGAGAATGCACGCATTCTGCGGTTTTTTGACTCACAGCCAGTAGTCCAAGTCGCCGAGAAGAATCTGAACTTGAAGGCTTCAGGAAGCAAGGATGAACTGGGTTGTGGTCTCGGGCGGGCCCTTGAAAGTATGCACATCTGTGAATACGTATCTCTTTAGGAGCCATAAAGGGAAACTAAAAAGCTTCTCAAACTGCAGCCTGGAAAAGCATTCTAGACTCCAGACTTGCGTAGTCGAAGGCTAGAAAACCCTCAACCTGCAACCCCCCGAGACTCTACCACAAAGTTTATGTAGACCCTGTGATGACAGTTGAGCAGGGCATCCGGCTTCCACCCGAACTTCTGAATGGCGCGGGTCTCCACGCTCTTCATGGCCGGATTCTGCGAGATCCTGAAATGTTCTTTCAGTTAGCCCCTCGTGGTTCTGTTGTGTTCGGTTCGGGTGTTGCGGGTTGGGAGCTCTGGGGGTTGAGGTCAACGTAGAGTCGTAGAGTGTAGATAATATAAAGGGGCCTCAAGAAATACTAAAATAGGATTTTGGTGGTCTATTACACTAAAGTTGTAATAAGGAGCCCTACATAAGCCGTTGTGACACCTGCCGCGATGATCGCAGACCCACATAAAACCACAGAATGCTCACTCCGGAATGCAGCCTGGAAGCGTGAACTGTGCCGCCTCCGCGTTCTTGAAGCCCTCGACCCAGTTGATGGCCCAGAGATCCATGGCAAGAGCTGGGTTGCAGATATAATCGTAGGGCATGTAGAAGTATCCCTTGTCACCCCACCTGAGCACAAAAGGTCACGTCGTGCAGGGGACGGGTCGATGATTGCTGCCATGAACTTGCAACCTAAGCCTTTAAACCGAAGCCCGCGATGGATGAAACGCCGAGTTTGAACCAGACGAGCTGCCCCTCTCCCCAGGAGTTGCGGACGATGAAGCACTGCTGGAAGTCGTCGTAGCCTACGGCGCAGACGGCATGGCCGCCCAGCTGCTGGTCGTTCGCCTGGGGCATCACCATCTTGCCGGTCCTGGCAACCTCCGCTGTCTGGAAGCTTGACAGGACGGCAAAGCCGAAGACGAAAGGGTAGCCGCTCTTGATGCACATCTTCATCTGGCTCAGGTCCTGCGCAACTCGGGCGTAACCGATGACCTTGCACTTCTGTGCGATATCGTAGGACCTGGAATCCGGCTGCTGCTTGAAGAAGTCCGGGCCGTCGTCGTACTTCCAGACGCTCTCAGGGCAGACGCCGACCTTGGACATCGTCTTGATGCCGTCGCGGATCATCGCTCCAGCATCCTGGTTCACGCTGCCCTCAACCAAGCGCTCGTTGTAGTAGATGAACAAGCGGCTCGGAGTGAAGTCGGCGAAGTCCTGCCAAGCAGACACGCTCAGGTTCCGAATTGTAGCTGGTAGAAGACGAACAGCGACAACTCGAAGTTCTCTAGTGCCGTATACATGTCAAATGCAGAGTCACAAATAACTAGCGGTGGATAGACAGACAGTCAGACAGACAGACAGATAGATACGTAGACAGACGAGCAGCAATTTACGCATCCAGCTAGAGAGCCAGCAAGGTAGACAGGTAGGAAGTCAGAGGTAGCCGCTTAGTCCGACTAGTATTGTCATGTATTGTCCACCCATTCAGCGCAACGATCCTGAATCCCACGCCCCTAGACCCTAAACACTTTCTACCCTCTCCAAAGCAACGTGTCCTAAACGCCCTCTCGAAGTGTCCCTAATCCCTAAATGCGGTGCCCTACAGCCGAAAGGCCTAGAATTTTTAGGTTTTTGGAAGCTCCCTTTCGTGTCTGCCAACAAGTCCCAGGCTCGAAAGCTCAGTTAAGCGAGCATTTTGAAAGGAACCGCGTTTCGAGGCTCGTACGACCCCCACTCAGACCCTCTCTTAGAACTCACCCGCCAAGTTGTCATCTCCAAGCAAGCCCGTTCAATCTCCGGGTTTAGGGTTTAGGGCTTAGTTCTCTACCTCCACCTCTGAACCCCAAGTCCTAAACACTCCAACACTAAACCCTAAACCAGACAAGCCTTATATCCCAAATCCCCAAAAACCTGTCTCCTTTTCGTTCCCTACCTCCATCCGTAGTAGTTACCCGTTTTGGCAACCACAGAGTAGCCTTACAGTCCCCTTTGTGAAGCAATAGTTCCGGGTCTCCTTGTCGTTCTCCACCTCCATCTTGTGGAGGGTGAAGTGAAAGGCGGCTGCGAGGGCGTTTGCCGTGCAGCTCCCAAGATGCCCCTGGTCGAAGATAGGGAAGCCACCTGAAACTTACGCTTCACGGTTCTGTAAGCTCAAGTTTCGGATCGTCGTAGCGTAGGGAGAGTATCCCTTAGGGTAAGGCTTCTTACAAGGATTCAAGTGATCCTTACCTGGGGAAGTTGCCTGAAGCTTTGTGGCTTTAGGACTTTAGGGTTTAGGCTCCACGGCTTCGGGGCTTGGGGCTGTTGGGCGTTAGGGTTCTAGGCTTCGTACAAGGATTCTGTAATGATTCAAAAATGGATTGATATGGGTTTTAGGGCGGTTTAGGGTTTTGGGCTTATGGTTTAGGGTTTAGGAGGGGTTGGGGCTCGAAATCTGCAGGGCCTGCAAGGTGAAGAAGGATTAGCATGCCCTGACACCCTGAACGCTGAACCCCAACTCACCAACCCTAAAACCCTAAAAACCCCAAACCCCACCATACCCGCAACCCTAAAGCCCCAAAAGCCCCAAAAACCTTACCCTAGAACCCTCCGAGTCGAGCTGTGGCGCCGTTCTCGGGGCGCAGATCTACAATCTCCTTCGCCCCATCGGACTTCTTCTTGATCCTTAGGTTCATAGCTTTTGTGGGGTTTACTTTCTTAGAGTACTACTTTGATTTAGGGCTGTCTTGGGGTTTAGTTGTATTTCAGGCGGGTTTAGGGTCTCGGGGGTGTATAACGGTTCGAGTCTGGGAGGCGATAAGGGCTATTGTGCAGGATCATGCATAGGGCTTGGGCTTGAGGGTCGCAGGGTTCGGGGCAGTATAGCTAAGGGCTTTGGCGAGTCAAGAGGACTTCGGGACGTTTGACGCGTCGTCTGCGCCGGTGGGTTCGGATTTCGGGACTGTTTCCTTTTAGGATTCAAGGCACTCTCGGTCTTGCTTTCAGCAAAGGGCCAATAATCAAGTCGAGAACCGGCAGCTCCATGATCTGAGCTTACTGACATGTGATATGTACATGTGAATGTGTTGGGCTGCGAAGAATGTGCGTGAAAAGCATCCTGAGAAGCATCGACTATGACAAAAGTCACCGCCAAAACCAAAAACCCTACAGTCTAAATCACAATCACTACAACACCCTCTTCAGGGTGTGGCTCGCGAAAGTCTCATCTTTTTCGAACCGAACCCCTGCATTTGAGGTTGATGGGGATCGGACATTGATGAGAGAGAGGGCAATCTACTAGCCCAGTGATGCTCGATCGTGCTCTGTGGGTATCCAGGCTCGAACATTCAGACTTTCTGACTGAAGGTTCCGTCCTTCACTGCTGTGTGGGGTCACATCACGTACACCCGAACCTCAAGACTATGAATCTCAGCTCTATTCAGAGCAGTCGTGGGTAGCTATAAGTAAAATCACGAAATGTGGGAACCATAATTCTTTGCATTTCCTCCTCATCTCTACCTATCTCTACTCAAGAAACTTCAAGCGAAGCTTGAACCTTAACCCTCCTGCCGGGCATCGAGCTCGGTGCCTCAACCGCCGAGAAGGTCAAGTGCTTGTCGCGGTGGTCTGGCATGTCCTTGTTTGTAGTAGCAGGTCTGCTCCAGAGGCTGCAGCGAACATGACAAATGTCACAACTTCCAAGCTGTTCGATATAGGTGCCGTAATGATTAGAACAGGTTTTGGGGGCCCACTATGCTATAACTATAATAAGGAACCCCCAAAATAGTACAGGTAATTATTTAGGCCCGTATAGTACATGCGTTTGCTATGTGCCGGTGGCACACTGATGTCTCTCGAACTTGGTCGGGGCAGAGCTACTATAAGCCCCCATCGTCACAATCCATGCACATTAACCTCCTCGCCCTGCTCCTCGCCATCACCACCATCCTCGACACCATCGTGATGGTCATCAGCATCGCCATCCCTGAGCCTAAACCGGACCTTGCCCTGCCGGGACATAGGGACCCAAAGAGCACATAAGCATAAGCATTTTTATTATGCGGATATCCCCACCTTATTGGGCTTCACGATAAGGGAATTAGTATGGCATATCCCTATCCTGAGTTTTGCTTATGTGCCGTTTTGGGGCCCTAGGACAGGACTTCAAGGCAGGTGGCGGGGATCCAGCCAAACTTCTGCACCACGCGGCTCTCCATACCACTCATGGCAGGATGCCTCTCCACCTGTTACTACTGTTGCGGCGACAATCATGAATATGGTTCTTTGTAAGCTACTGCGTTCATCACTTTTGGATAATAGAAATATCATTGCCATGTGCAAGTTCTGCTCTTCTTTCGTGCTACTGCTTGGCATGCAAGTGTTCCTTACTATGCGGTAGGCCTTATTCGTACAGAAATGCCAAGATGAGTTCTGTTCGCCAGGGTCGCGTCTGTATGCTGCCCCCGCTCCACTTTCCAGGAAACCTACCCCCAACCCTAAACCTGCCTGCCTGGTGATTAGGATCTAGGGTTTACAGATCAAAAATATCGTACCTGTTTGGTCAAAGCCTACCCATTGGACACCCAAGCAGGTTCCGGCGGTCTAGGGCTTTTTGGGACCAGCTCCGGTGCATGGCTCATTATTCAGGGTAGGCATGCGACTACATATATGGTCACGCGCTCCGCAGCCCCCCCCCCCCCTCCCCCCCCAAGGTCAATGGTCCGGATATAGGGTGGGGCCCCCCCCCTCCCCTGTGGTGTGGGGTGTGGGGTTCCTCTTCCCCCTGTGGGTGGTTGTGGGGTTTTGGGGTTTCGGGTTTAGCTTAAGCTTTTGAGTTTTGGGTTTACGGCTACAAGGTATAAGGCTTCGAGTCGACAAGGGCTTAGGGAGGATTTGCGGTGTATGCTCTGCTTTAGGCTTAGAGCCTGCGGTTAGGTGGGGTTTAGGGTTGGGTGTAGCGTTTTAAGTACAAGTTAAGGTTGCTCAAAACCGGGGCACGCGCTGCGTCATAGGGTTTACGGCTTGCTTGCGAAGGGCTTGCGCGTGAGCCCTGGCCGCCAGCACCGCCCCACCATCCAGTGGCAGCTCCAACGGCCCCAACCCCTTTCCGCACACGCCAGGCCCCCCCCCCCCACCCCTGTCAGACCATACCATTGGGGGGGGGGGGGGGGCTGGGAACGCCAGACGCCTGACCATATATGCACATAGTTTTTTAGACATATATACACATATATGCACATGTTGTGGGGGTATAAGAAGACTGGGATAGCTGCAGTGTGCTTTAACCACCTCAAAAGTTTCGCTACTTCCTGTGACAGAAAGATGAAATACATACACATATGGAAATGCGTATATGGAAAGGTGAACATATATATATATATATATGTATATGACTATTCTATATATATATATATATATATATATATAGTGTGTGTGTGTAGGTGTATGATATGCCTGCATGACACAACACACGAGTGTACGTGCATATATACAGGTACTTGTGCGCATGTGTGTGCGGGCGCGTGTGTGTGGATTATAACATATATATATATATATATATATATATATACATACATACATACATACATACATACACACACCAATGGACCTATCAATCTCTATATCTGTCTATCTACCTACCTATCTACAACTACCCCTAGCTATCCATCTATCTATCGATCTATCGAGCTATCGATCTATCTGTCTACCGGTCTATCTACCTATCTATCTATCTTTCCATCTGTCTACCTATCGATCTAAATCTATCTATCTATGTGCGTGTGCATGTGCGCATGTACATACGTACGTAGGTGTGTATGCACATATGTGTACATATCAGCATGCACACGCAGACGCATGGATAGATAGGTTTTCAGATAGCCACATAGTCAGATAATTCAACAGGCAGGCGGGCAAACAAACAAACAGATGCATGGATAGATGGATAAGTACATGCGAGTCATCATCTCTCTGAGCTGTTCAGGGTTTAGGGCCTTTGGACGGGTTTTTAAAGGATCATGGGACTTAGTAATTACGGTTATTATTAAGGCAACTATACTTATAACCCCAATTAAGGTACTTATAACCATACTTACTAAGTCCCATGATCCTCCAAGTAACAACCCTTCTTCCGCCTTGAACTCGCCTGCCTGGACCGGCGCACTTTCACAAGCTCCCATGGTGCCTCCAAGAGTAGCGTCGTTGTCTGGGTTGTAGTTTTGGGGCTCTGAAAAGCATTTATGAATAGGTACCTCTATAGGAACCATAAGGGAAATTTGAAAAGTTTCCCAAATTGCCACCTAGTTGTTCGTTCTAACCCTACACCGTCGTTGTTCACTCTACCCGGTGGTTTAAAGTTTGCACTTCGGTTTTGGGGCTTCGAGGTTAAGCCAACGGTTAAGCTTCTGGGTCGTGGCCTGGGTGGGTTGTGTCTTTAGGGGATTTCTAGGTCAGGGCTTTCGGGTGCAAAGCATATGCAAGGCTGCAGCAAACCACATAAGATGAGGCTCCAATATTTGGAACCTAGAGCAGCGACCCTTATGATTGGGGTCCCCAGCACCCTAACCCAAAATACTAAGCCGTTTAAACCCCTTAGACCCGGAAGTCTTAAACTCTTAAACCCTTTAGCCCACAACCCTTAATCCGAGTTCCACCCCAAGCCCGAGAGTCTGTATATCGTTTTCATAGTCAGTTACAACTGTTTTCATGGAAGACTCTCGTCAAAATATACGGGCCTAAATCATGAATCCCTAGGACCTAAAGCCCTAAACCTTAAGCCCCAAAACCCTATAGACCCTAAGCCCTCAATCTTAAACCTTAAACATAAACCCTAAATAACCTTAAACCCTAAACCTTACGAACCCTAAACCTTAAGCCCTAAACCTTGAAAAGCTTAACCTTAAACCCGAAACCTTAAACCCTAAACCCTGAACCCTAAACCTTACACCCTGAACCTTAAACGCAAAACCTTGAACCCTAAACCCTGAACCTAAAACCCTAAACCCCGCTGAACCTTGAACCCCAAACCCTAAACCCTAAATTTTAATCCGTAAACCCTGAACCCTAAGCCGGGGAAGTCGGCTGTGGAAATCCGAGGTCTCTGCAGCCTTGGCTTCGGGATCCTCTGCAGGATAACCGTTGCCTTTAGGGTTCAAAGGACCCAATAATCAGGTACTCGGTTTTAGGATAGTAGTTATGTAGGTTAGGATTTCGGAGAGTATATGAGTGTTAGGTACTTGGTCTCTTGGGGTTGCCTTCAGCTACCAGGACCTACTCTTTGTAGGGTCCCTACACTGGGGATATGGTCCATATAAACCCCCCTCATAATGAAGCTTACGTCCTTTTTGGGTCCCTAATATACATTCGATTATAGGGTTTCTAATCAGAACCTACAAAAAGAAGGTTATGGCAGTTGGAGGTGAGGCTTAGGGTCTGGACGGTTGGGAGTTGAGGGTTAAGGGTTTCAGGGGTTCGCGGGCTTAGGCTTCTTGGCGTTTTTGGTTTAGTGGTCAGGGTCTCGCCCGCAGAATTAAGAGACTAGCCCATTCCTCTACAAGGGGCCTCATCGAAATTCTAAGGCTTACCCTGGCGAGATTTACTGTAAGCCTCCCCAACTCTTCCAGAAAGCCGCTACGCCCAGCAACCTCAACCCCGAGACTCCTAAGGCCAACGGCATAAACGCGATCAATCCCTAAGCTCGAAGGCCTTCTTCGCCACGAAGGAGAGCTTCTATGCACTTCCGTCTGGGTGCCGGCCGTAGTGAGCTTGAGCCGGACGCCCACACCGTCACGTCCCGAAAACCCTAAACCCCCCCCCCCATTCCCGGCTTCCCGTCTCCTCCCCATCTGAACAAGAAACAAGGCTGGCAAACCCTAAACCCAAAACCCTAAACCCTAGACCGAATTCAAACATCTCAGGCCACCAAGCGCTTTGGCATGGTACTCTTCAAGTCTCGTCATCTCGTCGAACTCGACTCCCAAAACTCTCGCATGGCACCCTGGGATTCCCAGAAGATTCCACACCCCTCCATTAAGGAATCAAGTCTATTCATATTATTAGCCATCTCTTTCAAGGTATAATGATAAAGCCTCGCCATGGGGTCTAGGGTGCTCTGGGTCTCCAACCCGCTATCTGAATCTGAACGCCTTTTGGCGGAAACGAGCCGGCTACCTCTGCGTATGTAGTCATGAGTAGTATACCCCCGAACCGTCTTCTAAAAATCAAGGCCATCAGGGGTACCCCAAACTGTAAATCCAAAAAACCCTACACCAGTCTCATCGCTGCTTGCTCAACCTTGCCAGGACTGGGTTGGCCCTTAAACGCCCTGAAAAATATTTATATATAGGGTCCCTTATAAACCCAAATAAGGAAAATGAAAAATGTCCCAAAATCCAACCTGGAGGAAACCACAGTATTTTCCGCTCTTGCTGCTGTTGCGCACAAGAGAAAGACAGTGCTGCTTTTAGCAGCTCTGGCTTCAACAAGGTGCCCAGAGACTCCAATATCCCTTAATTAAGGAATATACCTTAAATTATAGTAGGATCCTTAATATGATTTAAGGTATATTCCCTAAAAAAGGGATATTGGAGTCTCTGGGCTATTTAGGGTTTAGGGGCAGAAACGATCTAGGTTTGGAGTCCACGATTACGGGAGCATCTGAGTCGGTGGAGCATTTTGCTTGCCGGTTCTGCAGGGATACGGTGCGGGGGTTGCAGCGCAGAGCTTGAGTTGAAGATACTTGGAATACTTTTTGTTGGGCTCCTAGTCTACTGCACAGCTTTTCACTGGTTCGACGCATAACGAGGCCGTGAAACCAATCACTTGCTCAGCTTGAAGTCTTTCGTCGCGGCGTTCTTGAAGCCCTCGACCCAGTTGATGGCCCAGAAGTCAGAGGCGAGGGCGGGGTTGCACATGTACTCGTAGGGCATGTAGAAGTAGCCCTTGTCACCCCACCTGTGTTCAACGGAACATGCTGGAGTTTCATATTCCTAGCAGACCTTACAGTTTCTAGTCCACAGTCAAGCGCACAACACACACAAGCCGATCGGAAAAGAGTGCTGAAAGCTGCCAGGCTGCTCCTCTCCCCAGGAGTTGCGGACGATGAAACACTGCTGGAAGTCATCGTAACCGACGGCGCACACGGCATGACCTCCCAACTGCTGGTCGTTCGCCTGGGGCATCACCATCTTGCCGGTCCTGGCAACCTCCTCTGTCTGAAAGCTTGACAGGACGGCAAAACCGAAGACGAAAGGGTAGCCGTTCTTCAGGCACGCCTTGAACTGGCTGAGATCTTGTGCCACACGAGCATAGCCAATGACCTTGCATTTCTGGGCGATCTCGTAGGACTTGGAGTCAGGCTGCTGCTTGAAGAAGTCGGGGCCATCGTCGTACTTCCAAACACTCTCAGGGCACACACCCACCTTAGCCATGACCTTGATGCCATCGCGGATCATCGCCCCAGCATCCTGGTTCACGCTGCCCTCCACAAGGCGCTCGTTGTAGTAGATGAACAAACGGCTCGGAGTGAAGTCGGCGAAGTCCTGTCACAACACAGGGTCCAGGTGTTCCGACTCCAGCACTAGTAACTAGTACCCACCGCCTGCATTCTCCTCAACACTTGCAGCAGCACCGCCAACACCACCACCAGTACCAGGACCACCAGCAGCAGCAACAGCAGCCGCGCGCAACACTCCCATCCCCCAAAATGGGCACTACCACAACCAGGAAGACTGCCCTGAAGAAGAACAGCAATTCAGAGCAGCAGCGGCAACAACAGCCAACCCCAGCATGTGTTGATGCTGATGGGGCGATGGCAATGGCTAAGATTCTCCAGAGTTCATCCTCCAGCTTCCCTGCAGAAATGTCCCTAGGATTTGGTGTTGCATATAGTATCCGTAGCCATGGAGTAACTTTCTGTTAAATCTAGTGGCCGGTTTTCGTCGTGATAGTTTAGGCTTAAGATCCCATGTGTCCTTGCCATTCTCCACCTCCATCTTGTGAAGGGTGAAATGGAAAGCAGCCGCCAAAGCGTTTGCCGTGCAGCTACCGAGATGCCCCTGGTCGAAGATGGGAAAGCCACCTGGCACCGCAAGGCATGAACATGTACGTCTCAAGAGGAGGAGGGCACAAACCCTAAACTCGACCCTATGGGCCCTAGTATCTTTTGGCCTACATAATTACCAATACTATTGTAGGGGCTCCTTATTATGTCTATAGTAAGGTCCCTACCCATAGTACCCCTTATAGTAACCCTAAAAAAGATACTTGTAGAGCCCCTATTCAAACTATTAAGGCCCCTATATTAGAGTGCAGGCTCAGCCGCCATTCTGCGGACGGAGGTCGACGAGCTCCTTCTGCCCTTCCGCCTTCTTCTTGATCCTGAGGATTAGGGCTTCGGGTTTTAGGGTTGCTACATAGGGTCTGGGGTGTAGGGTCTAAGGGTTCGGGGTTTAGGGCTTGGGGTGTGGGGTTCAGGGTTTACGGTTTAGGGTTGCCATAATTTCTCGTCAAAGCCCTCCGAAGCACTTTTCATGCTTCGAGAAAACCTTTCACGATACGAAGCAGCGAATTGCGGTTCGAGATTGCATGTGCCCTGCAGGTTCAGCTGCGCTGCTGAGACCTACGGCTGTTACCGATGACAGGGGTTCCAACGTTTGGATTCAAGGGCCCTTCAGTCCCTGAGCCCTGAAAGCCGGCTCAATACGGTTGATGATATAAATCGTGCATAACCCATAATAAGGAATATACCATAATTCTCATAGTTAAGGGTCCTTAAGGCCATGCAGGATTAATATCATCAACAGTATGTGTAGAGTTCGGGGTATGTTGAGCTTCGGCTTGGCTCTAGGAATTAGGTTTAAGAGTCCAGAAACAAGTACTAAGGCATGTAGTTCTACCGGCCTCAGGGCATTCGGGTTGAGCATCCCGCTTCTTCTTCAAGGGGCTATCTATCTATCGACAAACATCATTATACATGTATATACATAGAAGTATGTGTGTGCATATATATATATATATGTTGTATGTATTTTTGTTTGTATGTAATTAGATGGGTCTTTGTTCTATCGTATCCTGGTTCCTGCCATATCCTCTTATCAATGGGTAAATACACTTCTCATTGTCCTTGTTATAGAATCCTTTGAGGTAGCACTAGAAAAGAAGCGTCAATAAATACTCCTGAAAAACCTAGACATTCTCTCGCTGTGCAGACCACTGCGGAACTGCAGTATCCGCATGTATCGGCCGTGTGGGCTCGCAGTGGCTCTCTCGAAATCTAGGATGTATGTAACGGACTACATGAATACACACATATTGAATAATATTCATGCATATGCACGGATTCCATGTGTACACCTGCTAAACCGACACTTTTGTAGGGTCCTTACATTAAAATGAAGCCCGGTATAGAATCCTAGGCTACAGCACCCAATCCTTTATCCGAAACGCCTGATTCTCTAGGCTTTCGTGCCCAGCGTCTGGCTTGGGGCTTGGACGTCTCCAAACTTCACGTGCAAGTCTCGGTGGTCCGGCATGTCCTGCAGTTTCATGGTTTGCATGCTTCAGGATTCAATGTCAACAGTGCTGAATGCAACTAAACTAAAGGTCCACAACTAATATGATAGGTTGTGCAGGGATCGCACAAGTAGCGTCTTGCAGTAGCTAAGGATTCCTACGGCATGATCAACTTTACGTGCTCCGGCGAACTCTAAACTGAAAGCCCCACAGCCTCTAACACTACATCCTGAAACCCACAATCAACCCCAAATCCTTGTACGGTCAACCTTAAGCCACACTTCTGAGATACCATGAAATCAGCCCGAGCCCGTAGGCCTTAGGCTGACCTACCCCGACCCCCTCAAAAATGCTACTGAATGAAACATCCTGAAGAGCTTAGGATCAGTGCTGAGGGTTCAGGATTTACGATTCCGTCTTCAAGTTCAGGCTCAGGGTTTGGACCTTATAAGATTCACACCCCAACACACCCACCAAAAAACACGGAATCGGATCTGTGTGTTTTTGCCGAGCCGCCGGCTTCCACCCGAACTTTGACACGGTGCGAGTCTGAATGCTGGTCATGGCAGGATGCTTCTCGACCTGGTCGGGATCCAGGAATCTAGGGTTTAGGGTTCAGGATTTTGGGCTGTTCGTAAAAAGTTAGTGGTCTAAAGCGCAGGGAAGTACGAAGCAATGGTGACCTCATAATTATACAGAAAATGACCCCGCCCCTCGATTACGAAACTCGATCCCCGGAACCCAATTAACTAGCAACCCTCCGCAATTGTAAAACTCGATCCCGGGAACTCAATGCTTGAGACCCTTCTGCCAGCCGTCCCAGTCGCAGAGAGAGTCAGCGAGCGTAGCGATACTGGGATTCCCCCTCAACACCTCAACAATCAATCAACCCTGCCGAGGCCTGACATCAATCGACGGGGGGGTTAACCCTAAGTCCCTAAACCCCCCAAACCTCTAAACTTTACCCTGGGGAGGGAGGGTTATTATGAAGTCAACCTTAGGCCTTCGGCCTGTCTCTTCACCGAAATTAAACCGCATCACCCCAGAGAGCCCCGCAACCTGAAGCCCCAAACCTCAATTAAAGCCCTAAACCCAACAGCCCTACGGTTGATGATATAAATCCTGCATGACCCAAAATAAGGAATATACCATAATCCCCAGTGTTTAGGGTCCTTAAGGTAATGCAGGATTTATATCATCAACAGTATGCCCAAATTACCACATGTACAGCACTGGAAGCCTGGGGAGATGTGCTAGCTAGATGATTTGACGACGCTTTTCTGACATTAGATCTTATGCCCGTGAGCAGCCTACTTGAGGGCTTTGAAATTCGCTTCCATACTAAATGTCGCAACCACGTCTAAATCGGGGGATTCATCAATCACAAGTTTACATCACTTTGCCTGAAGAGTTTTCGGGGGCAGCTGTGAGTATGGCTGTCAAGGGGGTTTCATAGGGTTTTTATGAGGGTGTTGAAGTTCTGACGTAGCTCCTGAGCTGGGACACAAGATAACCACATTTGATTAAACGTTACCTGCAAAAACGCCGCACGGACGAGTCGTCTGACCCGCTAAGTAATCCCTGCAAAACATCACTTGCCAAACTCCCTGGAGCTTCCTCCGCTTTCCCGAATCCTACATTCTGCAGCCCTTACCAAACCCAGTCCTATGAAGACGGAACAGAGAATCAAAAGCTGCCCTTGAGTGTAGCGTTTATGGTTTGGGTCCAAGGGCCTATGCGGCTTAGGACTTTGGAAAGGATGCACCTTGATCTCCGTCCCTGTGGCAGGTGTGCTCTCGCAGGTCCCCATGGTCCTGCAACCCCGCTAAACCCTAAACCCCTACAAGGAGGGTTTAGGGTACGGTGGTACGGTGCTTCTGTGGCTCCGATTTGCGAGTTGGGTGCAGTAGCTGTTGTTCTCAAGAATCGTGGGCCATGGGGCTTCTGTGTGCATCCATGCGGCCCCAAACCTTCCCCCAGACTACCTTGGCCCACCTGTGCATCGAACAAAACCTACCCAACACCACATAAGAAAATATGCCATTCTCCTAGGAAGCGCGTGAAACATACCCGGATCAGGGTTTACAAAGGCTCCGGTTTTGGAGTGTGTAACCTTTAAGAGTAGGGCTTGAGGGCTGCTTGGCAAATTCCCCCAAACCCCCGACACCCTGCCCCTGCGCTGGTAAACGCCTCGTTCAAGTCGGTCGACTTTGGAAAACGTGGAGCACCGAAGGGGAGGATTGAGCCCAGCTGCAAAGATGAGGAATCTCAAGATGTCGAATTTATCATAGGGACCCTTGTGGGGGTAGGGTTTAGGGGGAGGGGGGGTAGGCGGCCTTTAGTTAATAAGGACCTACTAAGCCCTATATAAGGAAGTACAGTACCATGAGTTTAGGGTGTGGAAGTTTACGCCTCGAGCTTGGGATTTCGGAAACTTCGCCCTAAACCCGGAACCCTCAACCAGGACGTTAGGCTGAGAGTTCGGGATTCCAGCCTCATAGTTCAAGAGTTCAGGGATCTATAGGGTTCCTTAAAGGGTTCCTTAAAGGGATCTATAGGGGTTCCTTAAAGGGATCTATAGGGGTTCCTTAAAGGGATCTATAGGGGTTCCTAAAAGGGATCTATAGGGGTTCCTAAAAGGGAACTCCAGAAAGTTGGAATATGGTTTCAGGGTAGGATACCCTATAATTTACCATAAAGGGTTTAGGATAATGATATTCCAACTTTCTGGCTTCTACTGTTTAAGTTCCGGAAGTCAGCAGATCACTTCAACAATTTAGAAGTAGGGTACACACAGTCACAAAGTCCATGCAAGGGGACTAGGGTTATGGTGCCAGGAACCCCAAAACAGTGTGAGCAATTACTTAGGCCCTATATGAAACAGTGACGCTATCTGAAACATAGTTTAGGACGCATTGGAGATAACGCCAGCTTCGGTCAATATATATATATATATATGTATATATATATATATATATATATGTATGTGTGTGTATATATATATGCGTATCGATCAAACTGTCTCTCCGTCTCTCTGCCCATCTAAATTCACATATACCTATCTATCCATATCTCTGTCTGTCTGTCTGTCCGTCTGTCTGTCTGTCTATCCATCTCCCTAACTGTGTGGTTATCTATCTATGTCTCTGTCTTGCCTGTCTGTCTTTCTATCTCTCTTCCTATCCATCAATCAATCCGGCCATTTTTCCGTCTGTATGCGCAAGCCATCGATCCATTTATCTATCTATGTATTCATCTACCCGCCTATCCACCTATCCATCCATCCATCCATCCATCCGTAAATCCATCCAGCCATCCGGTCATCCGGCCAGCCAGCCAGCCAGCCAGACGGCCAGCCAGCCAGCCCGCCATCCATCCTCATATATATATATATATACATACATACATACATACATACATACATACATACATACATACATATATATATATATATGTTTTCATTTTTGCAGCTGTACATATATATATATATATATATGTGTGTATATACATATATGTGTGTATGCATATATGCATATACATATACAATTACGGATGCACACACACATGCAAGCATACATATGTATATACACAGACATATATATATATATATATATGTATACACATGTATAATGCACACAGACACATCTATTCAAGGCAAAAATACGTGCTTATGCGTGTATGCAGGCGTGTGTAGCTAAGTATGTCCGTAGGCCTTTTCATGTCTGTCTGTCTGTCCGTCCGTCCGGCGATCTGTCTCTGTCTGTCTGTGTGTCTGAGTGTCTGTGTGTATGCACACGTGCACATCTGTGTGTGTGTGTGCTGTGTGTGTGTGTGTGTGTCTGTATGTATGCAGGTTACCAGCATGCTCCATGCACAGATACATATACACAGATGTGTACATACACGTACATCATACATGCATGCATGCATGAATACATGCATACATCCATCCCTCGCTCCCTCCATCCCTCCGTCCTCCAATCAACACATACACATGCCTGTCTCTGTCCATCTATACATGTATAGAAATATCGACATATACGTGAAAAATAGGTAGATAGACAGGTAGGTAGGTAGGTAGGTAGATAGAGAGATAGCTACAAGTTACAAGTATAGAAGCATCATTGTATAAAATGTATTACGTGCAGGTTCAGCGCTGCAGCCAACATGACAGAGCTCAACAACAAAATGACCGAACATCCTGACGTCCATGTTGAGTACCGCCCCAATACAGTATCGGCAACAGTCTATACTGGGGCTACAATAAAGAGCCTGATAACTATATTACCAATATATTCCAACTGTTACTACCCAACGTCCATGCAGCATTCCTCCAGCACTAGTAACCAGGCAGATGCTCGCAGAAGGTCTTAGGATTTCGAGCTCTCAGGAAGAAATGTAGGGGCCTTGATAATTAGATTAGAATAGGGTCTTGGAGGCTCCATACTATACTGCATATAGTATACCCCCAAACCCCATTCATTCTAACTATCAAGGCCCGTATAATATTACAATAACTCTTAAACCAACTTCCTGCTGACGGAGCAAAGGTTCCTTTCAACACCATGCAGAAGCTTCGACAAGGAGGCACCGTTTTATGGTGCTACCCATTGACAGCACGTCGAAGTTGGGGAGTGGTATAGAAATCGTTGGGATTGCGGGCTCGGTACGTTTGCTGGGCTACCAGTTCCGAAAGATCTCCAGGACTCTAGGCGCAAGCATTGTAGTCCTTAAAGTGTGAAACACGGGTGCCGGCATCACGAAGATGGCATCCAGGCATGTCCTGGCATGGCAAGCCAGGCTGCTAGCAGCTGTGCAAGGTTGGTCCCTCCACTCACTTACCTTTGGTTAGAAGGGAATGGAGGAATGGGGTAGAATTATAACTACTGTTACTACCATTCTTCCATTCCCTACTAACCAAAGGTAAGCTCAAGGCCCTGCAAAAACACATCGAATCCTAAACCCCGGCATTGCAATGACTCAGTTCCTGAGTCGGAGCTTGTGATCCTGCAAGGCTCGGTAAGGACGGAGTCTTGAAGTTTCGAGGACAGGCCGTATGGAATACTAGAGAGCCTAAGTTACCAAGCCCTATGTGTAGAGAATAGGGTTCAGGGTTTGTGCGCGGTTTCATGGATAGAAGAATTCGACGCAGCCACCCAAACCTTCAACCCTAAGCTTTATCGTCTAACCTAGCACCTACTACTTGGAGGTTCATGGCTAGTTCTAAGTGGGGCTATAAGTCCCCTATTGTGGGTTATAAGTATAGTTACCCTACTTACTTATAACCCCACTTATAACTAGCCATGAAACTCCAAGCAGTAGTCTACAAACCGACTTCATTTCTGCATCCTCCACATCTGGCTCCGGCAAACCGTGATACGAAAAGCATGTCCTCGCTCGACACCCGAATGCCGTCCGACGCGACTTCCACCCGCTCAAGTTTAGAGCTCGAAACCCAGAGAGCCCAGTACGCCTTGAGTGAGGAATGTGGCTTAGATTATAAAGGGCTTCACATTATAATTTAAGCTATATTCCTTAATTACGGGCTTCATATTAGGATTTTAGCTACATTCCTTAATCAAGGGGGTAGTGGGCTCTCTGGGAAACCCTGAACTCCATCGAAGACCTTTGCCCTCCACTCCAAGCTTCACGGGTTAAGGTTTAGGGTTTAGGGTTGTTGCTAAACTTGGCCTACTTAGGGTTTTTTGGGTTTAGGGTTTCCTCATCAAAAAGCAGCAAAACAAGAAGTCCTGCTCATACCGAAGAGCCCAGATTCGCCAGGGCCGCCAGCAACTTCAGTGCTCGAAAGTGGCGATCCTGGCGCGGCGCTCTTAGGATCTTCTGCGTCTGCTTGGAGGTTCATGGGTAGTTATAAGTCCCCTGATATGGGTTACAAGTCGCCTAATATGGGTTATAAGTATCGCTACAACCAGCCATGAACCTCCAAGTAGGGTTTAAGTTTAGGTTTAGGGTTTAGGGCTTATAAGTACCTCTCTGTTCTCTTTACGCGGTCCTCACCATAAACTAGGTCCTGTCCACTGAAGAAGAAGGTACTCGATTTCGGGGGTCCAGGGAGGGTTGCGCTTCTTGACTAGACAGTGTTTCTGGCAATTCGGGCTTCGATGCTTGGTGTCCAGCGGAACCGACTCAAGACTCCTGAGCGCCCGGCAGCGGTCCAAGATTTAGGGCTTCTAGGGGTTTATAGGGTTTTGGGCTAGGTGTTTAGGGTTTATAGGGTTTAGGGCTTATAGGGTTTAGGGTTGAGGGCTTCTAGGGTCGGTCCACCGATGTAAAACCCCTGAAGTCCTGGACTCCAAAACGTTACAAGCGCTAGAAAACTCCAGGAACATCGCAGGACGACTCGAAAGACGCGCGGCTACAAGGAAGGCTAGAACAAATAGCCCTGAACTCTGAACCATGGTCCCAAGTGCAGAGTTTGAAACGCTCGAGAAAAGTTTGACTCACGGAATGATGGGCTCTTTTTGCTACTTCAACGCTCTAACCTGATCGATCACAAGTGCTACGGCGAATCAGCGAGCTCCACTCTGCTGACTGTCTCCCTGGGAAATTGCATATTTAGTCGGAAGGTCTTGCAGTGAGAGAACAAAGTTGTCTCAAGCTACTGCAATTGCTGAATCTCGTAGGGCTGCAAGATTTGCAGTTCACCGCTCATCGCTGACATAATCTGCTCTCTTCCCACACTGCCTTTGGTCATTCCATCGGCAGTCATACTTCGCGTGTCTGACCAGTACAGTCGATGCAATCTCTTTGTTTGAAGAAGATTTCGTATCCAACAAACGTGCAATAGCA